ATCGGTTTTTGATTTCAATGAATGGTGTTGCCATGGTTACTAAAAATAGAATTTTCTGTGAAATTCCCTTAAAATGCTACTCCTTCTACAGTTTTAGTTTGATTTCAATATAACTTAGCACACAAGTAGATTACACTAAGATACATAGAATAGTGCATTGGTTTTTCATTTCGATGAACGGTTTTACCATGGTTACTAAAAATAGAATTATCTGTGAAATTCCTTTAAAACGCTACTTCTTCTACAGTTTTAGTTTGATTTCGAAATAAGTTGGCACACAAGTTAACTACACAAAGATACATAAAATAGTGAAATGGTTTTTGATAAGTACAAACCAGTAGAGCTACAGTCTCGACAGAGACTTCTGGTTTGACAGGTATTCAAGTATATGTATAACATTTTATTGGAGAGAGAGGGAGAGAAAGAGAGAGAGAGAGAGAGCTAGAGATTTGAATGTTCTTACCAGTAAAATAATTAGAATGAATCAAAGATGAACTTGAAAAGGCTAAGACATAGTCATTCTCAGCTTGAATCCTAAGGGAAGAAGCTTTTCGAGCATCAGATATGGCAAGATATACGCTTATATTAATATTATTAGCGCATTTAGCGAAAGGCACAAGTGAGCGCTTTTAGGATTAAAATTTGTCTACTCTGTGTCGCCGTCGTTGGTCTTGTCATACTAGTAATATTATGATCAGGTGAGCGATGTGGCCCCCGTGATTCTTGTTAATTAATGTAGACTAAGCAATCTGAAATAACTATCATGAATATAGTCTAATTATTGTCTTTTTTCAATTGTAGATACTTTACTTCCATTCCACTACTCCAAACTTTGGAATCTTATGTGATATATGGATGTGGCACAATTATGTCAAACAGGAAAGGGTTTCCATTACAGCTCAGGAATCCACACCTTCCTGAGAGGAGCGATGCTGAGCAGATGCAGCACAATAATCTTGTTGCCACAGTCTGGAATGATGCTAAACCTGTATGTATATGATTACCGGTAATATTTTTAAATTGCACAAAATATATATGCTAACACTATGATTGTTCAATGCAATTCTATTTTGGTGACTTTTTTTGAAAGATAGACAAATAATGTAAGGATTTAAACTTGTTTATGTTATGGTATTTTTACTTTATTAGGTTCACATTGTATCTACAACTTCTGATCCTCTTGGAGATGGCCCAGCTCAGAGAAAGGTTCGGGGCGGAGGTGTAATTATTATTCAGCGACCACCTGATGTGGAACTCTATCAGGCAAACTACTATGGGGTAGATAGAACCAAGCAGTAAAGGTCAAAGTGCCTTGTAGGCCGTCCGTCCAAGAAATTTGGAAGTATCTGGTGAATTTTATTTTTGAAATTTCGCTAATTAATACCTTACTGCTTTGGTTAGAGACCCCAGATACCAAAAAGCCAACGAAGCATTTCTCGATGATCGTCAGCAATCTGGCCATTGCAGAGAACTTTTCTAGCAGGAAGCGAGCGCCTTCGACTAGACGGGGGTTTCCTTGTATTAGTGTTGCCAGTGTCGACAGACATATAAGCACATAGCTGACGAGACCACGTGGAAAATGTAAACAGTGCACACAGAACGGTCGAAGAAGCGACACATTTTTGGGCGGAAGCCGCCTTTTACTTTTGCATGCTTTGTTGACCTTTCGACCTCTCAAGATGTTTGCCCCGCTTCATGGTACTCCAAACGGATGTATCTTAAACTAAGGGCATACAACCCGCTTAATCATATTTGACCCCTTCCCAATCTTTATCGTTATTATCAAATCAAAAAGCGTGTGTTATGGTGAATTTATTTTAACAATTTATTTTGATTAATGTAAAAAAGTCCAATAAAAATAATAGCCTAATAATAGAACGAATAGCTACTTTGTTACTGCTGATACGTTTCACGTTTGAGAGAAGAACGAACGACAACTCTGTATGTCTAAAACATAAACAAATCGGGTTCAACATTTGATTAGCACGGGGTACTGAAGCGATCTTTAGAAATACTACGAGGGACAAAATAGTTCAAGTAGGTAATTATGTTTAAGAACTAATGACAGGTACATAGCTACTGAGGAACTTATCTTTTCAATAATCTTGAATGAAATAGAAGAAAAGAGGTATGTAACTCCTTTTATCAATTGTGTACTACATTCGCGTAATAATCTAACATATAGACGATTCAGCGTGAAATTATTGTCAACAAACCCACGTGGAGCACAAATGATTTACAATGATTGACTGGAAGTGACCACAGGTACTTGTGGACAGGACCCCCCCCCCCCTCCCAATATCCACCCCTGGTCAAAATATTTTTTTTTCTTTTTTTCTCAAGAATTATGTTTCTAGTACTTATTTACAATGTATTCCATATGAAAAACCCAAAAAATAACATAGATTTAACGATTTACGAAAAAAGTCATACCAGGGTATTATAAAATAGAGAAGGTAAGTCACTTCGGGTTGTTAATTCGGACCCCTCTTGAATATCGGGCCTAAAATATCATATACCTATTACATGTCACCAAAATGTCTAGTCATGCCTTAATTCGGTAGAGGTTTTTGTCGTAAATCGTGCCATTTTATCAACCAAACATTATTCTGTTATCCCTTTATTAACCGTCAAACGCCAAAAATCCAGAAATGTCAAAGCAGAAATTACGGAAGTGACGAAAAAACGACACCTCGTAGTAATTTACTACAGGAACGATAACTCCACTTCTGTACTCGGAGAGTTCCGAATGTAATAGAACCAACGGAAAGAGCCGAAATTTGCGAAAAAAAGTACGGGAAATATTTCGGCGGTTGTTTTAAAGCGCAAAAAATAAGGAAAGAGATGAAATTAAGCAAAGGTATTCAAAATGAGTGAAAAAAATATTTCTTCTTTATACATCTGGTTACTAGAAAATTTTGAAGCTTCCACAGGCACTGAATACGTTGATTTACAGGACATTATAACAAAATTCAAGGCTACAGTGACTGGTCTTGCAGTAGGAAATATAATAAAGAGGTTATTTGAAAATGTCACAATAATACAAGTTCGCTCAAAAGATGACTGGTCAAAATTGACAAAGAGATATTTGGGAATCTCGTGGAGAAAATCCCCACTGTCTGATGTTCCTTTCAGTGAAATAAGTTCAATTATCCCAGAAGATTTTTTTTTGCTTTCAAAGACTGCAGACTGTATTAAATTAGGTCATTTTACTGGTGACATAATAAACAATAACAAAGTAATGATTGAAATTTCTCTGAAAAGTGATAAAATTTGGCATATGAATATTCGTGGAAGAACTATTAAACCAGCAAGTCTTGGCATCAATGAACAAAATGAACATTACAGTTTCAGCACAATATTCCAAATTATAAGACACCTTTCTTTTTGCAAAGGGGCTGAGAAAATTGGGGAAAATAAAAAGAAAACTACCTTTTTTGAAGAGCACTTGTCCAAAGTTGGTGATGAAAATTTCAGCAGTATTTGCTTCCGCTCAAAAAACTGTATAAATGTTTTACCAATTCAAGCTGCGACAAATATGTCATTTATCTGTACCTTTTGTAAAAAACTCCAGAGATCAACTAAATATCAATCTGATAAAAATGAAGAACAGTCTGAATCAAATGTTGAAAAAAAATCATTCTTCAAAAATACAAATAATTGCAGATGCAATCCAAGTGAACTCTGTGTGGAAAGTGATGATTTGCATAATACAGTTACATTGTGTGAAGCAGACAATAAAGACATGTCTGAACTGTTGAGCAAAATTTTTCCTGATTGTACTAACAAAATGAAAACATTTTTAAAGTCACAAAAAATAGCACTTGATAGACATCCCAATGGGAGAAGGTGGAATAGGGATGTAGTTCGGTTATGTTTAAATTTGTGGTGTAGAAGCCCTCGTGGTTACACAGATTTAAGAAATAGCAAGTTTTTGGTTCTTCCCTCTCAAAAACTCCTACAAAGAGTTAAAAATGAAGTTCATCAAGAGGCAGGATTCTCTAAAGAAGTGCTTCATTGGATGAGGAATGAAGCCCAGCTGAAGAAAATTCCACCAGAGGGGTTAGAGGGCGGCCTAATATTTGACGAAATGTCTGTTCAATCAGATCTACAATTCAAGAAAAAAGATGGTGAAATTCAATTAATTGGATTCTCAGAATGCACTCCTGAGTCCATTGTTTTTAACCAGATCTTGTCAAGTAAAAGACAGTTACCTTTAGCAACACATGCCCTCCAACTCCTGTTTTTGGGGTTTACAGGGTTCAGATTCCCATTTGCCCATTTTCCCTCAACTACAGCCTCAGGACATGAACTTTACTTGTTGCTTTGGGAATCCGTGAATATGTTATCAAGTTTTGGTTTTAAAATACAGTATATAAGTACCGATGGGGCTCAGTCCAACAGAGACTTATTCAATCTTTTACTACCAGAATTTAGCACAATGAACCCAGTAACCTGCTCATTCAAAAACATATATTGTCTAGATAACCCCCAAATTTTTTTCATAATGGACATCTCCCATGTGATAAAAAAAATTCGCAATAACATATTGAAAAGTGGTACTGATGCTAGCTGCAAGAGACATTTAATGCTCGGTGATAAGTACATTGAGTGGAATCATTTTAGGAAAGCTTATATATGGGACATATCATCTCATGCATTTCCAGTACACCATAAATTATCCCAAGAACACTTGTTTATGACACCTGAGGCCAAAATGAGGAATCACTTAGCTGAGGATGTACTAGATGGGAATATGCTACATCTCATGAAACTTTATCAAGATAGTCTTGGTTCAGAAGGGTCACAACTGGATGTGACAGTTAAACTCCTAAAATGTACTAGTGTCCTCATTAAAAACTTCAGAGATACTAGACCTGTCACTGATGTAAGTGATGATCGTTTGAAAGAAAATCATGATGCAATGGATTGGTTCGTACAGTGGGAGAATAGCATAAAAAACAACAAAACAATAAAAAATAAAGAAAAGCATTTAATTTCACACCAGACTAGACAAGACATTATATCATCTGTGCTTGGTTTTGAGGAGCTCTGTCTTTACAAACTGAAAAAATCAAATGCCTCCATTATTCCATCAAGAACAAACAGTGATGTTATAGAAAATGTTTTTTGTCAACAGAGGACACTACATAATGGGGCTAATACCAATCCTACCTACCTAGGATACTGCAACACAATGAATTCTGTTATTCTAGGACACGCCTCTGTATCGAGGAAATCAAACACTGGGGGAGCCTCGGGAGGTGCTGAATTGCCAGAACAACATCCAAAAAGAAGCTCAGAAGGAAAGATATGGCATACTAAAAGGTTTCTGAAATAATATAAAGTACATTATTATACATGTATTTCACAATCAATCATAAAAAGTATTTATAGACAAATTTTAGGTACATCATAGAAACATATACAGTGTAAATAGAAACTTATCTAAGTAATGAATTTGCAGATATTTTTTAATTTTTGATATAGATAATGGCCAACCTATCAATGTAATACTGTCACAGAAGACTTGGCCTCTTTTGTGTATACAGTACTAGTATTTCTCACATGAATTATAACATGAGGTCCATGGGCTACAATCCTCACCTGACTCACTGGTCTTGCTATTAATTCTTAATCAGGATTTCTCTCCAGCTCCTATGTGCAACTTTGATGTGACACTTCTGTTGGTCCCACCCTATTTTGAGAAAACTTGAATATAAACTACCAGAGAGATGCTTCCACAACAAATACTAATCATGCATTTACTATTCTTGAGAAAATGTTAAATATTTTTTCCAATGGTTTTTCTCTGTAAAATTATGACATTACAAAAAACAGAATTTTCATATGGAAAATCCACTGAATTAACATTAAAATTAACATTAGAAACATTTAAATATTTTCTGCACCTAAATTTGGAGTTAATAAATTTCAGACCAGATGACATACCTAGTAAGATCTTCCTCTGTCATGTTCAAATCTCTGTCAGCAGATGTTTTTCTTTTCTTTCCTTTGCCCTTCCCTTTACCTTTTCCTTTGCTTGATGTTCTCTTACCTCTTTCTCTAGGTTGTGGTGAAAGGCCAGGTCCAGATGATACAGAGCCAGCGGGAGTCAGATCAGCATATGAAGGTTGAGAGTTACTAGGTCCTGCCTGTTCAGTGTCAAGTACAGATTGATTGGATGCATGAACATTTTCTAGAATTCCATCGACAAGCACTTTTATGATATCATCCTTCTTTTGCTTCATAGTAGCTTTCAAATTAAAATGCTGACATATTGAGATCAAATCCTTTTTGGTAAATGAATGTTCAGTAAAGAATTTTTCATTTTGTAAAAGTTCAGATTTTAACCTTAATAATGAAACTTCTTTATTGCTAGAGTCATCTTCTGAGAAAAATTTCATGTTGAAAGTTTTCACAACTGTTTTTGACCTTTTCATGACCTTTTTACGCAGTGCGACACTCTTCTCATTTTTCAAAAATGTTAAGAAATCTCTTCGAAACTGACTTAAATTTACTTTGAGGAATAAAGAGACAACTGCTTGGAAAATCTCTGTGTAACTATCACAGGTCATGACCATTGAAGACAAAAGATCAGAAATATCTTCAGTTTGATTTTCATTCAATTGATTTCTCGACTTCGCAACACACTGAATCCATGTGTCAAAAATATAAGAACTATCGAGTATTTCTCCCTTAATAGAACTGAATAAATATTTTCTATCATCAACTAGCTTATCATGAGTAAGTTTTTCACGGCATAATAATTCAAGTTTTTGGAAAAAACTAAAGGTCAAATCAGACACATTAGTGAGACTCTCTCTGTCATTTTGTCTGTGTTTAACTTCAAGTAGGGTCTCCGGCTCTACTGCTGTAGCATTTAAATGATCAAATGAAGTACACAATGAATTGAGAATTTCCATTTGTGATTGAAATCTTGACAACTCTGTTTCTTTACCTTTGGTGAATAATATATTTCTGATTTTTTTTGACAAAGTATGTTTCAATTTGGCTAATATGTATCCACTTATGTACCTTAATTTCCCTTTTCCTGCAGAGTCCATTTCCAGGTCAGACTGAACAGTTAGCTTTTTTACAGGCTCAGGGGCAGATAACTGAAGATAGGAAGAAAGCTGAAGAAAAAATTCTTTCTCTATCTGAAACATAACTGCAGTTAAAAGCTGAAATGCTGGCCCTTCAGAATTTTGCTCATAATAATTAAGCAAGGTTTTTGCACTTTTTTCATAATCATCTGAGTTAAGATACTTGTTGAATCTAATAAAATAATCATTTCTATGCTTCTGAGAAAAAGACATTTCCCCTTCAGGAAAAGTATTCAGTCCTATGTCTTCCATTATTGAAAATTGCTCATGAAACCAGTCATCAAAATATTTATAACTTTTGCAGATTGCATCCCTGAAACTGAAAATAATTGTTTCTACTGGTGTGTCAGAATATTTCTGCACTGCAGAGTCCAAAATGAGTTTTGATTGTGAAAACTGATCAGGAAGTGCATTTTGACCAGGATCACTAAGAATATTGTCTATGAATTCTAATTCTTCAATCTCTGAATCAGAAAATTCTGAATCCTCATTCAAAACTTTTGACTCGATAGCATCATCAGTGTCTTCAGATTTATGACCAGTATCTGCTGTCAGAGTACTAATGTCAACATTATCCCTGCAACAACTTAGATCACATTTCACAATGCCAATTGAAAAACTGTCGTAAAAATTGTATACATGACCTGGATGTTTTTTGCATAGATTTTTATGGAAGTTTATTACTTTCAAACCCTGAACAGATACTGCTCTGCCTATGGCAACTCCAAGTTGCCCAGGCTGGATACAATTTGTGCAATCAATAACTAAATTTTTCAAGGTCATTCCCTGGGATTTGTGTATTGTCATAGCAAATCCTACTTTTAAGGGCATTTGTACTCTTTTCGCCAAAACAATTTTATCCACAGGGTCAAATATTGTGAAAATTTCTCTTGAAATGGACACTGTAATTGGTGTACTATGATTTTCCATAAATTTCACATCTACAGAATCATTACATAAATTTGTCACAGTTCCACAAAGTCCATTCACTAATGTGTCACTTAAATTTTTAATCAGCATAACAGGACAACCAAGTTTTAATCCTAGATTCTTAGGGGCCAGAAATTTGTTGAGATAGTGTTGAGAGCCCTCATCCTCAGCTTTGTACACCTTTAACTCCCCTTGAAGTGCTTGCAATTTGTTGTAATTATACAAGTCTACATCTAAATTTCTAGCAAATAAGTGTACACATGATTTCTCATTTTGTATTGGTCTATCAAGAGAAAGAAGAAATGCAACACAATCTTCTGAGAGATTTCCAATTTCAAGTTCATTAATACATTGAATCAAGAGCTGATCTTCCTGTCTGTGGATAATATTTAAGTTAATTTTGTGTGGGAAATAATTTTCAAACCAAGGTAATCTATAGCAATGATTTCCAAGATCTCCAAAATGTTCGTTTGAAATAGGTGGGAGTTGATAAAAGTCTCCCACAAGTATCACCTGGATATTGCCAAAGATGAGTTTTGAATTTCTGACATTTTTACAAAGTAACTGAACTTGATGTAGGATTTTTGCGCTAATCATGGAAATTTCATCAATAATTAGTATTTCGGCATTTTCAATATTTTTCTTAGCAACATTGAACCTTTCATCAGTCTTTACTAAGTGTATTATTTCTTCGTTCAAGTGTCTGCCATCCTCTATCCCGGCCCATTTATGCAATGTCTGTGCCCTTAATTCACCATAATGAGTCGCGGCGATACCGGTAGAACATACAATAGCAACATTTTTCTTCAGTTGTCTTAAATACCTTACAATTTGTTTGACAAGAAAAGTTTTTCCTGTCCCGGCTTGTCCAGTAATTATCAAGTTATGTCCAGAAGTTGCCAATTCAAATGCTCTTCGTTGATCGTCGTCCATTTTTATTTCCCGTACTTTTTTTCGCAAATTTCGGCTCTTTCCGTTGGTTCTATTACATTCGGAACTCTCCGAGTACAGAAGTGGAGTTATCGTTCCTGTAGTAAATTACTACGAGGTGTCGTTTTTTCGTCACTTCCGTAATTTCTGCTTTGACATTTCTGGATTTTTGGCGTTTGACGGTTAATAAAGGGATAACAGAATAATGTTTGGTTGATAAAATGGCACGATTTACGACAAAAACCTCTACCGAATTAAGGCATGACTAGACATTTTGGTGACATGTAATAGGTATATGATATTTTAGGCCCGATATTCAAGAGGGGTCCGAATTAACAACCCGAAGTGACTTACCTTCTCTATTTTATAATACCCTGGTATGACTTTTTTCGTAAATCGTTAAATCTATGTTATTTTTTGGGTTTTTCATATGGAATACATTGTAAATAAGTACTAGAAACATAATTCTTGAGAAAAAAAGAAAAAAAAATATTTTGACCAGGGGTGTATATTGGGGGGGGGGGTCCTGTCCACAAGTACCTGTGGAAGTGACAGGCCTTCTCTTCAAAATAAATAAGGTAACTCACGCTGTGTGATTAGCCTATCTTTTATTGTCACCCTTATCTTTGATTGTTTTAACCTGAAAATGTCGCCTCCCTATGCAGGCATGCTTTAGACATGTTAGATATCGTAATATGATAGCTGTTATGGTCGGGTCTTATCGAACGAACTGGTACTCTAATTACCATGATTACATGCCTGGGAGAAATTATTTGAGGAATTATCATGCCGAGTTTGTGTATACATTTATATATCCTTTCTCATTTAATGTTAATACATGTATGTTGAAGGATGGGCCAAAACTGTAAAATCTGGACAGAAATTAAAACGCAAGCATAAGAACCACATTGTGTTTTGTATAGATGTGTCCCTGCTACGGAGGCAGCTAACAGAAAGGGGATATAATTAAGATTGCATTGTGGATTTGCCCTGTGCCACCTCTAAATGGCAGAAGAAAACTCAACTCAGCACAACCAGAAACACTTTTCTGAAGGTGAGTACATCAATTTATTATATTTCTAGATAAGTGGAAAAAATTTTCATAACTTATGATACATATTTTTTATAGCATAACAAATCATCTTGTTATGATGGCAAAACTGAACCGAATACTATTTTTGAAAGTATATTTTGACTTTTCTTATTTTTGTTGACTTATTTTCTTTTCATTTTTTTTAAATACATGCAAATACATATTTACTTATAATAGTAGGCTTTTGAAAGAGAAAACAAATACAAAAAAATATTAGAGAAGTCAAATCAGTCAATATTTATCATGTTTAATAATCGCTTACTCGATATCTGACTTTTTCATTACATGTACAGATGATTATGAATTCCATTGGAAATAATTTTTGGTACTAAAATTAGTTATCAAATAAAACACAAATGCACAATACATGTACACCCAAAATTACAAAAGGTTGTTTTAATTGGATCTATTTCAAAAACTGCTGTATACACATGTAGGTTATATAACTAGCAAAAGAGAGGGGACAGATGTTGTTGGTCAGGATCGCTAGTCTTATATTATTTCATTTGTTGGTTGTTTCCAGTATATTTACACTAAACTAAATACTACACAAGTTCACTTTCCGCAGTTTTGAATCTTTTGTTATTTCTATATACCCACTTCACTCTTGAAGTTGGTATAGTGGCATTAATTTCTTTGCAT